ATCACCTATTACAGAGAGAAAAGCGACACACGTAGAAAAAAAATCCATCCCAGCTTCACATACAAAGCATGGCCTGATGAAGTTGACTACTACACCACTCAAAAGTGAGTTCTCCAGTGGATGATAGGCAGGTCCATAAAAATACCAGCTCAATGCTTGATGGCGGTCAAAACAGGCAAATCGTATGTTCAGAATTAGTAGGAAAGGGACACAGAATGAGAAAGTCATTAGACCACAGTGAAAGTCCATGTTCCACCCACACCTTAAACACTGGGTGCAGTTCTGATCCCTTCATCTCAAAAAAATAGGGGGAGAGCAGAAATGGAAAAGCTTCAAAGCACCAAGGGATAACTGAGTGAGTGCAACAATTCCTACACACGATGACTGAGCAGGTCGGGCCTCTCTAGCCTAAAATAAACGAGGAGTATGTGAGGTATGGGGGACACAACGGGAGCACCCAACACCATGAGCTGTTTGGAGTAGAAAGAGACAGAGACCAACTTTCTGCCTCTCTCCTCCAGCACAAGAATTGAGAGCCATCAAATGAAGCTAGCAGGAGTCAGGTGCAAAATCATCCAAAAAAGTGCTTCTTCAACCTGGTGACTAGGTGGCCTGCAGAACACCGTCCCAAAGGATGTTGTACATGCAAGAAGCTCAGGGTACACGTCCTCAGAAGAGAGATCCATTCAGGGTTACACAAAACGTAAACGGATAAACAACAACCACTTTAAGAAGTAACCCGAGTTGAAAGGCAGGGAGAGCAAGCATCAGGCAAGGCTTGCCCAGTACCTAATAGTACAGCAATTTTAGGAAAAAAACATGAAACCCACGTCCGGATTGCAACTCTACAGTGAAGTGGACAAAACATTGAAAAATTTATTTCCTTGACTGTTTAACAGAAACGAAGTTAATTTTTTTTTTTTTTTACGTTCACACCAAATTAAAAAGACTAAAAATACTGTTTCACTTGTGCTACCCAACAAAGTGAAGGCGTCTATGGACAAAACAAAGCAGCCTACATTTTCCACACGGTATAGGAATTCCACAACTTCCATCTTTCCTTAAGAAAAGCAGAATCTGTTATTTCAGTCAAGGCTGGGTTACCTGATGACAGCATCAACGTACCTGCACTCTGGTATGTCTGACAAGACAAAGAGCCAACCTACTTAAAATTTACTTTGCATTTACTTTATGATGGTAGAGTCTATGCCCCAAGCAAAACACCATGTGAAAAAAAAAAAAGGCAACGCAGAACACAGCTGGCAACACCAGAACTTGTTCTTAAAAACTGATGTTATAGAGGTTTGCACACCATACAATGCAAGGCACGTTACATTTCCAATCCAAAACATCACATAGTTTGAAGCATCAAACGCTGTTTATCATGAAGATGACACCAGGATTGGCACCGTATTGTTTGCTGGTTCCTTCTTCTGCACCAACATTAGGAATAAGGCGAGTGCCTTTGTCACAGTTCTCTACCATAAGTAAGGACTGATTTAAAGAGATTCCAAATCTTCTGTAGGTACAAAGCTGAAAGCAAGCACTAGGAGATGTGAGTTAGAGAAAAAAAAAATAAACAAACCTGTCCATCGCGTCCAATCTTTACTGGCTTATGTTCGTTCCAAGGATTGGTCAGGTGAGCAGACTTAGTGAACGGCAATTCACGCCTAAATATGCAAGTGGCATCATTTATAGTTTTACCTCCATTTTTTTCAAAAAATACACTTTAAAAACGCATACAGTAGGACATTACACACAAAATCATCCTGTTACACTTTGCAACATCAGGTTTCTGAATGAACTATTAGTACATACTAAGTCTTAGTAACTGAGGATTTCTGTTTGACTTACTCCAATATTAACTAGCATAGTCCATACTATGACAGCCTACCTTACTACAGAATTTTTTTGTCCTTGTACAACATCGAGATCATGCTTGCTTATCATCTTACCATCTGGACATGCTGACCAGTCTCTATGCCAGGTGGCAGCATGGTACCTACTGAAATAAATCCCTGAGTGCTTGACCTAACTATGAAGCTGGAACTGCTTTGAGCTGGAGGTGGGAGTCTGTAAATTCCAAAGCACCTTCCCGACCTAGATTCTTCTCTAATCCAAAGCCTCCCCTCCCCTCTGTTTAGTCTTTCTGGCAGCCCAGAGTGCTTGTACAACCATGCAGTGTATCTCACAGGACAGATACAGCTCTTAAGAGAGGTTTAAAAGCTTGTCTGTAAGACATACTCAATTAAACCAATCGACATTTGCTCACAACCTATACATTATGCAAAATACTTGTACTATTTCACATGTTATTTTAGAGCAGTAGCATTTTCCTTGTTCAGTCAGGTGCCAAGATGACAGATGAAGACGGATCTATCCTTACAGGACTTTTTTCCCTTTTATCCACAGCTATCTATCCAAGTGAACAGTTGTTTTTACTCAAAGACTTCCTTTAGAACACAGTTTTCGGGTTTCAGTGCAAGAGATCAGTGAAGGAACACAAGTGCTAAAAATCTCTACATTAACTGTCTACATTAAAAAAATAATTCTATAGTGTATGTCAGGTACAGACTTGAGTCCCAAGCTCAAAAACATGGAGGCATGGATCTGGGGAGACTGGAGGACAGATCTCTCATTGAACTGAGTTTTCAAAAAGATGCTGTCAGCACTCGAGTAAGTAATACACAGAAATGGTATCAAAATGCCTTGTTAGAATGAACAATAGAGTGGTTTGGGTTGGAAGGGACCTCAAAGATCAGCTAGTTCCAACCTCCTTGCCACGGGCAGGGACACCCTCCACTACACCAGGTTGCCCAAAGCCTCATCCAACCTGGCCTTGAACACTGCCAGGGATGGGGCAGCCACAGCTTCTCTGGGCAACCTGTTCCACTGCCTCACCACCCTCAGAGAGAGGAATTTCTTCCTTGTATCTAATCTAAATCTGCCCTCTTTCAGTTTAAAGCTATTTTCCCTTGTCCTGTCACTACATGCCCTTGTAAAAAGTCAAGCTTGCTATTACTCCCCCTCCGCATTCAAATCTAGTTTAAAGCCCTGTCAATGATCCCCACTAGCTGTCGTGCTAAGACTGTCATTCCCCTTGAGAAAGGTGAATCCCACCTGGTGCCATGTAGGCCATCCCATTGTCGGAAAACCCAAACTGTGGCGATAACACCAGCCACAGAATAATGTATTAATAGACTGGACACATCTCTTTCTTCCAGTGTCACTGCTCGGAAATGGAAGGATAGAAGAAAAGCTAACCTGTGCCCCAGAGCCCCTTACCAACCATCCCAGGGCCCTGAAGACTCTCTTGATCGCCCTTGGACTTCATGTTGCAGCTTCATCGCCACCCACAGGGAAGAGCAGTGAACAGGTAATGATGGTTCGAGGGCTGTACCAGGCTAGGAAAGTTTCCTAGCCATGTCCTTAACCCAGGTGCCAGGGAGGTTACTAACAACATAAACGAACAATATTTACCTGCAAATCCAGTCAATTTTAAAGACACCTCCCAACATTTTTGCATTCATTCCTGCAGGCAGCACCCAGTGTATAGGTGATCCTCCATGATGGGACTCTGAAGATAGTCTTGCAAATCCTAAAGGATTTCACATGAATTGTAACAAAGACACACAGAAAAGCTATTGCACATAAAACTCACTTTCACTTACCTTGGTATCAGCTCACTTTCCCTTACCTTGGAATTTGCCACTCTCTCTTACAGAAAATATCAAAATAACACTCCTTGCTGATCTAAACGCAGCATTAAGCTTCTTTTCATTCACTGGAAGTGTTGACCATACTCCCTGAAACAAAACAATCCCCACACCACCACCAAAACACGAGTTCATTTCAAGTGATCTAGCTAACAGAAGTATAACAGTGCAGATGAGGAAAACAACGCCACACCAGTGCTTTAGGATAGAAGGTAAGGGAAAGTGAAAGGTATTGCTTAATTTAGTTCCTTCACAAAATATTTTTAGCCTGCCCCGTTACCAGACTTATAAAACACTGGCTTTTCAATCTTTTTTTGAACATTGCAGATGCATTTAGACCATCAAAAAGGTTTCATCTCTAATGAAAATGGACAGATACATGAAAACCTTTGCCTTTAGTATTTTTAATATAGGTTTTAAGTGACTTTGGGAGTTCATGTATTATACAATACACACAAATTATGAAAAACCAGCAGCATATATACCGAAAGGTGGGCAGCTAGACTTCAGTAACCTTCTTAGTATGACAGATTTGCTGAGGACAGCTTGCAGACTTTCAAAGTCTCTTAGTGAAAGGTCAGAAATATGAAAGACACCAAATCAACATTTTAAATTGGCAAGACAACTCAAAACAGTTTGTTCAGCCTCCCACATCCCCACCTACTAATCCCCCACTTTTCCCTTTCACCAGCCATTGCGTAGCCATGCACAATAAAACCTAATCTGATTTAAGGTACCAACTGAGCTGATCTGCAGAATACTAGTTTGCTGTATTACTTTTCAGCAAGATCAGCTCCCAGATCCATTCTCTGGGCAAATTCAGAGGAGAAGCTTATGCTGGTTTAATATGTTCAAATTTCAGCCTCAGAATATGATTTAGGATCTACCAAAGAAAATGTTCCTCCCCTTCCTTTTTTATTGAGGATATGTTCTCCTGTCCTACTCTGTGCTCATATTAGTGCTTGTCTGACTCTAAAAATTCATTAGAGTCACCAGAGAACTATTTTGGTTTTTTTTTTCACTAGCTTTCAGTCAGATGTATGTTGCTTTAGGCTGTTTGCAAAGCCTTGCTGTAAACTGGAACAACTTATTGTAATGGCACCACAAAAGCCAGTTTCATGGAAGTGCAGTGGCAAAGCACTATACACTTAGAGACAAAGCATCCACTCCAAGAACTTTAGGAACAAGGATACTGTTGCAGCCCCGAGTGTGGACAAGGCACAGGAAGGATATGCTCCCCTAAAGAGCTAAAGCAAACACCAGTCAGAATGGTGTTCACTGCATAGATCAGACCCAAAGTTCGGGGCAGGGGGGGAAACCAAACCTGTCCAGGAATTTTAAGATTCATTTAATCGTTTTAATTCTATTCTATTTTAGAAAATCTTCATTAAGAGAATAACCTACTCTGTGTATACCATGTAACAGCAATCAGTTATCTCCTCTACAAGCAGTTCCAAATAAAACCTGCAAACACAAAACCACCAGAGCGGCCTAGTGCCACTCCTTAGCAGCTGATGTCCACTGCACTAGAATCCCTCTCAAAGAACTCCCTTACACCAGCTCTGTCAGGCAGACATTTCTGCAATAAGGCTTCAGATCCCTGAATCGACTGAAAAAAATTACTTTTCTAGCATTAGATGAAAGCCACAACCACCTTCTGAACTTCCTCGCAGTGCAGCGATATGAACAAAGATGCCGCTAAGAGGGAGAACACACCATTGCAGCATTCCCAACGGAGGTTGGCTTAGGACTTAAACAGACCCTGAGGCCCCTTTTAACCCTACTCTTATCAAGATAAATGACTCATGGTCTGGAAACTTTTCCAGGTTACAGTGGAAGCAGAACAGCTACCCTTGAAGAATCAAGGAGCAGTAGCTTCCATCCTTGCCTCTACCAAGATCTGAGTGATGGAGAACAGAATGCATCTATTTATATGCTTTTCTATAGTAAGGTGCATATGGTTGGTAAGGTATGGTGGAAAACAAAGTGATCAGTTTGAAAAAAATTCAACATACCTTTGCTTTAGCAAGTGAGACGTTTTCATGGTTGTTACTCTTGATAAGAAAGAATCTTGCATCTTGGAGAATGTATTTAAGTTTACTTGTTTGGTCTGAAAAAACAAAGCATCAAATAAGCAGAAGTGTAAATATTTACAGTTGTTCAAAATGTTGCTTTGAGTGCAGATAGTTGTTTCCTTCAAAACACACTGCATCCCACCCAGTTCCTACCTATGCATTATTACAGTCAAACACCCAACTTGAAACTTGAAGTCTAAGCTGTAGAGCACAAAATGCCAGGGGAAACCAAATCAAAAGCAAAACTTAAGATATTCAGGTAAAGAAAAAATAAAATAAAATCAGCATGATTCAGTGATGTTCCGATATACAGGACTTATTTCCTTGCTTCAGAACCTCTGGATAAATACTGGATAACATTCATATCAGCATGAGTTGTCCACCAGAAAATGCTGAAACATTCCTCTTTTCAGATGTACGCGTTTTATTTTGTGCTTTGCCACTTCTGCAAGGAGCAAAGCACTGGAATTTTTGTGTATCCCTCTCAGCACATGCAAAAGGAGCTCAAGGCTTGTTACGCTCAGCACAATTACGTGCTCAAATGGATTTATATCGGAACATTACTACTTACAGGTGATTTAATGGACAGAGACAATGGCTTGCTATGGGGCATGCATTAAAAATTCAAATTTAAATGATACCTTTTTGGACAGCACGAACGGAAGATGATAATTTCTCATGCTTCTTTTCTGAACCTGTGTTTAGCCAAAGTACATTTGTTCAGATTGAGCCTTAATAGAGATAATATACAATTTCTACAGCCTTGTCACATACAATTTTCATTCATGACAAATTATGCTTTCTGGCGCGCACCCACACACACAAAAAATACTGTTCAATGTGCACGAGTGTTTTGGTTTGGTTTTTTGGTTTGGTTTGGTTTTGGGTTGCCCGCTTTGGGTTTGTTTTTTTAAAGTAGTATTTGAACAATTTCCTACTCAGAAAACTAGTCACTGAATCATCATCTTCCAAGTTTAAAAAAAAGAGTGAAAATTCCACTTAAGCAACAGAATAGCATTAAAGTAACAAGAAAGCCTACTTCCCCCCAAAGGTATCCACACACAACATGCCAGAAGTCAATACCAGATTATACAACGCTACATACCCCATAAATCTCTACGGCCAGTTACTTTTATTTCACATTACACATTAAGATTTGATGCAAGTCAGGATGACAAGCAATAAAAGAAAAGAATACCTGCATACGATTCTGACGCAGAACTTCCACTTCTGTCAAAAACAATCGGAGAGATACCACGAGCTCTCTTCCTCTCCTTCTTTTTCTCATCTGGGAAAAAAAAAATAAAAAAAAAAATCACAACACATAAAAGCAATATTTTAGACATCAAGTGGCAGGCCAAACTGAGATAAGAAGTACTGAGACAGGAAAATAACATCTGTAATAGTGCAGCTAGCATTCGGCTTGCACATGAAAATTGTAATTGCTGCCCTAAAACAACCAAGCACAAAAGAAACAAGTGCTGATTACTGAAGCTTTTTGTTCACAAAAGGAAGACGAACGCCACAAATCAAGTAATTCTGTGCAAAGTTTAGAGACAGAATTTATCTCCTAGGTGTTTTAGCTCTTGTCTTCAACCTTCAGCCAAATTTGCAGCACAGAGCACAAACTCAGGCTCGTTCACTCAGAGCTCAGCAAAATGGCAAGAGGAAGGAACACTAAACACTGTGGCACACGGGGAATTATTCCCACTCTGGGAAGTGTTACATTGTCCTACGGAGCGGTTTTGAACAGTTACTACAGCTTGACACGTCTTTCGGTTCCACCCTTCTCTTCTCTAACTTCAAACAGCAGAGCTGAGCCGAAAAAGGCATTTTGTAAAGCAGGATGACCACCTACGGAGACTTCAGACAAGGAAGGTATACAAGAGGAATCTTAACAGGATGGCAAGTTGCCTTCTCAAAAAGAAAAACCAGCTAAAACCTAAAGTATTTGCGTCATTAACACTGCACATCTGTAATTTAGGACCAGTTACAATATACAACTGTGAAGCGTTTGTTTCTAGTTTCTGCTTAAAACAGTGCTCTAAGTTTGCCCTAATAGCTACTCATGTCACCTCAGGTACGGATTTCCTACGCTGAAGGCAGACACTATTTAAGATTCAGCTGTTCTTCCCTGGGGAGACAGTGCTTTCACTACACCGGTCTACCCAGTCACTCATGTAGACGAACACAAAACAGCCCAACATCAACTGAAAATTAATTGTACAGGAAAGTAAGCCCTTAGATCCCTCAGAAAACACCAATTCTAACGTTTCAAAGCATCGCACTGCAAGGCCACAGCAGTCACCACCACTATGAATCCCCAGTATGGCAATCCTGATACCCACAAGTTTCGGTGTGAGGAAATCACACTTCATAGTGCATTTTTTCCTTGCCTATGATAGTTCATAATTAAGGTCTCACTGACTTGTGCTCCTACAGCTTACTTTTGACAGATTTAGGAAGTGGTTGTGTTTAAAAGCGGACAAACTTTCAATGGCACTGCATTTCAGGTTAGCACGCTAGGTGTTACCCACCTGATGCATCTGAACCAGACCCAGATCTGACTGACCCATCTGTAAAAGAGGCAGATTCAGAGTCAGAATCGCTGGCTTCACTTCGTGTGTCATAGTCGTTTCCTTCCTTCTGATCTCTCTCATCCTGTTCATACTCTTCTTCATCCTCTTCCCCATCTTCTTCCACCTCTTCGTCCTCCTCCCCTTCATCATCTTCCTCTTCTTCCATTCCTTCCTCCTCATTCTCTGTATTGCCTTGTTCAGAGGAGCCACTACTACCAGTCTCGTGATCTGAACAATATTCCTCAGAATTCACCTCTTCTTTAGAAGAATGGCTGGATCTGCTTGGTCTTCTATCTACATCATGCCTGAGCCTCTGATGTTTAAAGAAAAAGTCAATCAGCAGTCATACAACATTGCCAGGATGCACACACAGTCCTAAGAGAATATGCCTTACAAAAGTCTCACACAACCGCTTTATTTATAAGGCAGCAACAATGTTTAATACCTCTGAACCATCTGGCGTAGAAGACTTTGCCCTTCTGTCAATATCCCTCTTCCTCATGCATGATTTTTCGGGTTGTCCTTTGTAAGGTTCTCTGGAACCGCTTGACACACGCGTCTTTCGATCGCCATCCGGGCGCTTGCTCCTGTCACACCTCGGATACTCCTCACTCTTGTATTCCGACACTGGTTTTCCTTTCATACTCACGATTCTCTTGTTATTGCTAACCGACGAACTGGGAGGCTTCGGAAGCATCTGCCTCGATGAATGCACAGAAGGTTTTTGTCTCTTGCTTTCAGCATTTTCCATCCTGTCAGTTTTTCTTTTCGATCCTTAAATAGAAAGGGATATCAAGTTCAGAGTTGTTTTGTATCTCAAACCAAAAACTGTGCAGAAGCACCTACTTTGGGTAATTCCCCTGCTGCAGTCATAGGAAGCATTGTCCAGCTGTAGGCTTTGCAGCAACACTCAAAACTGCTTGTTAGCTCACGTTCCAAACCATATATTTCACTTTAAAAGAGCAATCCTTTAGGCTTTGGTAGGCGTTTTCTAAATTTTATGTATGGGAATGCTAAACTAAATGCTTATGGGATGGCCCTAAATCCAAACCAAGAACTGAGTTGGAACCAGACTTTGGGATCCCCATTTCACTTCATCAAACCAAAAAGGACAGTTATTTTCTAACAGCAAATGCGTTCACAAGCCAGCAAACGAACGAGCCAGGCTCAGCAACTGCTTCTGAGACAAAAGGAAACCTAGTTAACTGCTTTCTTGGAAGATCAGGTGAAAAAGTGGATGTCCATGAAATAAAGACTTCTGGTACTCTTTCACTCTTTGAATCAGGTTATAAGAGCTGCTACTTCAAACACTTTAACCCTAATAAGAAAGATGTTTTTATCACTTACATTCCTGCAGGACATCCACCACCAGAGTCACCTACCCTTTTTCTCACTTTTATCTTGCTCGCTGTCAGGGTTATACAACTCATCATCTTGGTCAGGAGCATCAGTCAAAATGTCATCCAGAACATTCAGTTCACCATCTGAAAACAGAACGTTAAAAACAGCTATAAAACATCTGGATACGTAAGCTACAGTAAAACTAGTATTTACAAACTCATACATTTCCTTTAAGGTTACAGATCTGCCACAAGGCAAAAATTAACTTTGTCTTGATTTATTCCCACAATTTCAGTCAAAAGGATCAAGCAAAGCCAATAAAAGAATTTAAATATATCACAGGATGCATTTAGGTCTCTGAATAAGGTCCAGGTTGGCTCCTCATGCCACACAAGCTTTGCAGGAAAGCTGACCTAGAAATGAAAGCTTAACAAAAAAGCCTGTACAAAATTTGAGAAAAAGGAGACTGAGAGACAGTCTAAGTGCCATAAGCAAAGAGGAGAGACCCCCCTCCTCAAAACACTGAAGAACTTGCATGTTAAATTATCTGCCCTCCCGCCCTGCTATTTTTGTTGTCACTGCTGTGTTACGAAGGTGAATTTTGTGGTTCACCTAAAAGTAGAAAAAACACAACAGGGCGAGTTAACAAGATAAGCTAGGTCATCCCGCTGAAGAAGGGGAAAGTAGTCCTTATTTGCCACATAATCAATTCTGAGCTGCTCTGAAAAAAAACCAAACCACACTACACCTTGAACAAAAGGGCAAAAGTTAAAGACAATTAGTGCTAGAAACAGTAAACAATCACACTTGGTCACATCACTTTTAAAATTTGTCACTGTTTCCAACTGTTTCACTTTGCCTGAAGTCGAAGGGGATATATGGTGATTCTGAGAGGAGAAAGATTCACCAGCTTTAAGGCAGCAGATCTACATTCTAAGCACTTTAACAGTAAGAGTGAACTAAGCCTAAGCATGCTAGGGGAAAAACAATAGAAAAGGTCTCAATTTTGGAGTCTCTTATTTCTTCTCCCAAAGCCTGGAATTCTTAGCTCTTTTGCTTTATGTTACTATGATTGATTCCATTTTCTGTGTTCAGGAAAAGGAAAGCAGATCAAACTCCAGGGATTCACCTAGCTGGCACTATCTGTAGAAGATGCGTTGTACAATGTTATTAAGCAGCAGGTAAGGACTCCAGGACTGGGCGAAACTGGGGTGAGGCAGCAAAGTCAGTCCTCCAGAGTCTGGCAACTTGTCTATCTCAAAATCTTGAGCTGTGCCACAAGAGAAGTTCTACAGCTTGGTAATAAAAAAAGATACAGTCCACACCAGGAGAAAAAGTTAGTATTGTAACTGTATCTCTACTATATACTACTGAATCTGAAGTCACTATGTGTGCCAGCTTTCCTACTGGCATTTCTCCACATTTTCTGCAACAGGGGAATGCAGAAGTGGCCCCTGAACTGCACAACTGCTGTAGCTGATGCGAAGGAAGCATTGCAGAGAAGTGAATCTGGCCTTTTTCCCTGACGGTTTACAGTAAGGGGGCATTTAAATCTAACACAAAGCTGCACAGTAATTCTCTTGGGAATAATCCTTTATGTTTGCAGATACCTATACATCCCCAGCAAATATTCCTGC